ATTATTTTGGCTATAAACTTATTTTAATTTTATTTTTTATTACTTTTGTTATTAATGCCCTTTAATTAATTAATTTTATTATTTTACTTTGATTTTGATTTTGTGATTTTTTTTTAATTCCGCCCTACCTACATCTGATACGACGCCTATGTCAGTCCCGTTCAAATCTCGCGTAAGTAACAGCCAATCACATATTTTTATTTACAAAAGAAATTCCACAGCATTTTTGTCATTACATTGAAAATTTTTTTCCAACAAATGTGTACACTTCCAGATGCATCTTCGCCAGCCAAGGTTCGTTCATTCAGTCATCGCTTCAATTTTACATCACTGAGTATAATTATCTAGAATGGAAGCCAAAAAATAAATAAATTGTAATGATTAGAACACTGTAAACAGCTATAGTAAACAATGCAAACTGATTTTAAATTGTATAAATATAACGGTCACCGGCCCATGGAATCAACGCAGAAAATTGGAGCAAAAAAATATTTCCTGATCAATTGCGATGTGTTCCAAATAAAAAAATTTTTATTTCAGTCCAAATCAGCTCAATTACTTTAATAAAGGGTTATTGTATAATGTACAAAATGTTGATACATTTTGATGAATATTTACAGCTACGGCTTCAATACCGTAGACGATGTTGGCCCGATCGTCAACAAAACATCACCCGTCTCCAGGGCAGGCGACTGGAAAAAGACACTGGTGTTCGGTCGAAACGTTGAAAACAAAATCGTCACTCCCAGAATAACTATGCAAAATAACGATCTAAAGTCGAACCATTCGAGCCACAATATTAACATAAAAATGACTTTCGTTGCATTTGACAATGATAAACTTACCGAAAAGCCGTGTTATTCTTGGTCGATAACGTCGGTATAATCCGCCATTTTATTTGAGTGTGTTTGCCGCCCAGAGACGTCATCATGTGCGCTATAGAAGGAGGTCTGTGATTCGTTGACTAAAATCGTCGATAGTGGGTCTCGTTGAAATCTTGTTACATAGGCATCGGGTCAGATGTAGGTAGGGCGGAATTAAAAAAAACACAAAATCAAAATCAAAGTAAAAAAATAAAATAAAAGGGCATTAATAACAAAAGTAATAAAAAATAAAATTAAAATAAGTTTATAGCCAAAATAATTAAAGCCTGTACACTACATCAGATTTTAATCAGATTGATATTTACCGGTAAGTGTAATTGTAATACCACTAATCAACATTGTTTACAAAGGATCCAGGAAACCTGCACAATTAGGAGAAAACCTGACCTTCCCCTTTCAGCAATTTTCAACTATAAATGTAATACATTGGCATTGAATGTTATGAGTTTGTATATTTAGTCCCTGTTGCGGACAAAATCTCAAATCGGAGACTATTAATTTGGAGTCCGTCTGTCCGAGGTCATATCTCAGACACTTAAATAAAAACAAGATATGATCACTGTAAATCATTAAAAATTTACTGGTGATTCAATATTTAAAGTGGTTAGGAAGAAAGAAAACATATGCAGAATATTAAAGATTGTTTGAAATAAGAAAAAAAAAATAGCAAACTTTCAATTCATTTCGTGAGGAAAAACTGCTTGCATACAAACACCTCAGACTTTCCCCTGGGTAATCTGTACAACTGTCAAAAATGTTAGCATGATCTTTAGCAGGCCCTTGATGTTGACAATGATACTTTTAATTTATTCAGGTTTCCTAGTGCTGGGATGCCACCATGATTGCAAAGGCAACCAAGATCACCATTCTCACTACCATTGTGTCACATGTGACAAAATACTTGCCAGGAGAGCAACTTTTGAGCATCACATCCGACACTGCTCTCGTATCAAGTTTGTAAGTGTGGACAATTACCGACCATGGTCGGAGCAGCAGCAGCAGCAGCATACCAGTGACATGCTTAGTATGTCAGATAGAATAGTACCAACAAAAATGGAAGGTGAGGATTGCATTTATTTGTATGTCAATTACGCACTAGATGTTCCATGTTCTGATATGTCATCCTGTTTTGATCCAATTCATCCAATTCAATTCAATACCAACAATAAACTTGCATACAGTGTCTTGTTTATTTTTTGGGTGTTTTTCCAGTGGAATAAAATATCATGGGAGTGTACGAATGGTGAAAGCCATCTTGTTCATTTAGCGGTAACCCGACTTTTGCCATTTATACACTTGGATATTTAATATTATTGAAAAAACACGAAAACAAATAAATACAAAAATAAACAAGAGACTGTATGCAAGT